AGATTTTCAATGACTGGTCAGGATCATCAATATTTACCACTGCTTTGTCTTGACGTACTTCTTGTCGAAATAAATGTTTTCATTTTGCTAATACCTCCAAGAATAACAATTTGCACAAGATAAGAATCTGTGTCTGGGTATATATGGCAAGCTTGATTTTATGAAAAGAAAAGTATGCGTGATTTCTCCAAAGGATTGGATCTTGATACTAGCTAAGAACACTGCAGGAAGTGTTGTTTGACAGTAAACTCTTTGTTTAAAAAAATATATATATTTACAAACCAACCTATGCAGGTATCCTTCTTATCTTAGATGGGATGCCATGAGCAGAAGTTTCCCACTGGCCTTGAATCTGACCTTCTTTTCTTTCAGGATATGCGAAGTTTACCTCGAAGTTCACTTTCCTCCTGATGACTACACGAGTTGTAATATAGAATAACTCTCCTTATGTTGGTTCAGTGATGTCTGTTGTCACTGAAGTTGCTTGTGGGAATTAACTTCTTAATCTTTCTCTTACGTGCACTTCTTGTTTCCAAATACTTCCTACATTTACAGAAATAAGACTCTAGTTAAACATTAACTCCAGGTTATATACATGAATATTCTCAAAGTCGTCATAAAATAAAATTTATTTGTCTTTGACAAGTCTTGAAAAGTCTTCTTGTTTATACACAAAATATTATTTCCTAACTAGTTCTTTAGTAATACAAGCTCAGTAGCAGAAATATTTATAAATTTATTGTATCCTCTAGTACATAATATCAAAACTGTTTTCTCACTGAACACTTCTAGGAAATGAAAATAATAGTGACTATATTTACGTACATTGCAATTCCTTTCTCGAATTACTTTTATTGTCCATACAGTATATTTAATGTATCCTAGAAATGTTATAAAATTAAAATAATTAAACTGTCACGTAGTATCCTAACTAATATGATCTCTAAAAAAGGAAATTAAGTTTTGGACAGGTTCGATACTCTGGTTTAGATCTTTATAATTGTCTTAAAATATAACTTTGTGCAAATTAACCTACAATAACCCAATAAAGTCAAGCACGGTGTCCTATTTCCACCGGAATGATATGGGCTTTTCTAATTAAATCTGAACAATCTATTTAAACAATTTCCACGTGTATTTACCTTTAAAAATATGATTTATTAATAAGTGACGAGTCAAGTTTGGAACATGGTGACAGTGTTGATGGTGACAGTCACTGGTAGTGACGGTCCTGCAGACGGTGGACCAAGTTAGTCTGAGAGGCTGGTCTCTGGTAGACTAGGACACAGCTGTAAGTTAAAAACAGTCACAGGGATGTTAAGAAATACCTTTATCCTTAAGAGTGATAAGGAAGTGGAACGACTTAGCAAAGTAGTAGAGGTAGGATCCATGCATAGTTTTAAGAATAGGTATGACAGGGCTCACGCAGCCACGGGAAGAGTGAACCCAGTAATGAGTGAGTTTACTCAGGTAGACGTATACATAAGTACAGTTATATAAATTATCATACATAGCATATGTGTAGATTACCTAGGATAACCCCTAAAAGTGATTTATTTCCATTGGGGTCCTTGACTATTTCCACTGGGGACAGGAGCTGAAATTCGACCCCTGCAACCACAAATAGGTGAGTGCCGGAGGTGTTCATGATTGCTGGTGACTGTGACCTTGAGGTGATGAGGACCTGGAGGGAAGGTTGACTGCTTCACTATCTTGTCATCATCATCAGTGGTTGTGGAAGGTGAGACACGCGTTTACATCAATATCTTTCTTAATACTTGACAGCTTATATGTAAATATACCAAACTCTGTACTGGAATTCACATACTACTACATCCAGTCTTGCCTTAGTGATGGACGTCAATACATAATAATAAATAGCATTGTTGGTGTCCCCCAAGAAAATATTATTATTCTAGGACCTCTTCTGTTCATTTTAGTATCAGTGACAGACCAAATACCACACCAGTAACCCTTATAATAAAGCCATGTCATATGACTGACTTGTTTCTACTTCAATCCTTTAATCCTCTCTCCCAGGATGCGACCCATACCAGTCAGTTATTACTCTGGTACCTCCAGGTGCAGCAGGTGTAAGTAAATATGCCCAAAGTTTCGAATTATCTGAGTATCAAGCCTCGCTCCTTCAGTGGTGTGCTGTGGCTTGGTTGGCATTGCTTTTTCCTTGCACACTATCTTTGGGTTCAATCCCTGACATGGGTGGAAACATTGGGCACGCTTCCTTGCACCTGCTGTCCCTGTGCAACTAGCAGTAAGTACATACCAGAGTGTTAGTAGACTGGTGCGGGTTGCATCATGGGGACAAGATTAGAAGATCCTAATTGAAACAACAGTACTGATTTTCTTGGGTGGCTAACCTGGGTTAAAAACCTGAACAAATCATACCAGGCCACAGTGCCCTGTGGCCTGGTGGCAAAAGCTCTCACTTCACACGTTGAAGGTCCGAGTTCGATTACCGGCGAAAGGGTGGAAACATTGGACGTGTTTCCTTACACTGGTTGTCTATGTTCACCCATCAGTAAAATGGTACCTGGGTGTTAGTCGACTGGTGTGGGTCGCATCCTGGAACGAAACTGGCCTAAGTTGCCCGAAATGCTCGGCATAACAAGCGGCTTTTTTTATATGCGTAATAGTATGTCATTGATGTCAGCTAGGCCTGTATACCTTGTACATGTATGCACTTATAGTAAATAAAATTATTATTGTTCTTTCAACACACCGGCCATATCCCACTGAGGATTATTATTATTATTATTATTATTATTATTGTGTGAGCTGAGGCTGTTCCCAATTGGACTATTTAATTGGGTCTTAACCCAGGATAACACAACAAAGCCATTAAGTATGACATATATACATGTGGTGCATGTAGTGTACATCACTATTACATTATTGTGCATTATTATTTTTTTTTTTACTAGCTAGTACCAACTACCTCATATTTTTTTACTTTGTATAGTGCAATTAATTGCTCAACTTATTATATATTACAAATCAGATCTTACACCCAATCAGTATTTATATCATAGTGAGTTGGGTTTACTATCTGTCCATTTAACTTTGTTTACCATTACTTAATTTAGTCCCTTATATATTTTCTCCTTTATTTTAGCTTTATATAACTACCTTAGTTCATATATTCGCAATTGTTAAAATAACCAAGGTGCTTTTCTCAGGTGCGAAAGTTGTAATAAGTCAACTATTTTGCCATTATATTCCAAGCTCATTATTTGATTATCACTTTATTTGTTCACCACACTCATATAATCCTTTTATATTGTCTCATATTTTAACTTTAAAGAACTATCTTTAAAGAGCTACCTACAATTATGATCCCAATCTCCTTATTGATCATCACTTATATTGCTCACCCACAAATTATTTTAGTCCCATTTATATTTGTCTCCTTTATTTTAGCTTTAAAAAATATCCCTATGCCAAATTTTTTTACATTTGTTAAAATAATTCTGGTGCTATTTTTTTAGCTTTTAGAATATTTACTTGTCTATATTTATCTCTAACTATATTATTTCACTATAAATCTTTGATTACAAACATTGACCCTGAAACCAACCTCTTATTGAATGACTTAAAGAATAAAAACATAATTGAATTACTACCAGCAGAACAATCAAGGCACTTTCAGAGCCAATAAAAACAACTGCTTAAAAACTACAATATTAATCTTTAAGCAAACATTACGATGACCCTAGCATTACAAATTTCCCTTGCATATTTTCCATCATTACTTCACTGAAACCTGCAAAAAACCTATCCTCAGTGTCTATGCCTTTCCCTGGTTACACAGCCAAAAAACTGTGGCCAGATCAACAAGGGGGGGGCACAGCGTTAACTCAGCCAACAAAAAGTATCCTAATACTTGACAACAAAAATTTTAAAAAAATTTCCCAAGATGTAGGCATACTTTTTAAGATACGGGACTATTTCCCCGTCAGCCTCCTGGCCCCTTTATCACTCTCTTTTTTTACCCCCATCCACCTATGGAATTGTGCAGGGGGTCAACAACAATTAACCATCTCAGACCCTAATTTCCCAAAAAAAGGCTGCGTTAGAAGATGATAAATTCTCACTAAGGCAGCACACCCACCCAAAATTTAAAAAAACTCAACCACCACCAACAAAACATCCATACTATTTCTGCCCATTCATCATAGAACACTTAAAATTGAATAAAACCCCCCCCTCAAACATCCCTTGCCAAACCCAAAAGAACCAACCATAACGCAAGGCACAACACTCTTTGAGTTCCTCGTGTCCTCTCACGCTATGCAAAAACTCAATGCCTAAAAGGGGGCCCCAAAATCGGGGAAATTTATACTGTAAATTAAAAGAAAACTACCTGTTTATAAAATTTAAGTCTCTTCTCAAAGATCACTTCTCAAAACCAAAAATACTGAAAAACTGAAACCTATAAATTTTTTATACTATTTACTCACAATTTTATCACACAAATGTAAACCCCGGACCCAATCTAACTTTGTTATTTTTTTTAAAAACACTACCCAACGAAAACTTCCCTTCGACTGAATGTACAGCAATGCTGCAACCAATACCTGTCTTTGTAAAATCATTTGTGCTTTATAGTTCTGTTTACAAAATGTTTTATCACTGATTTCATCTTGCTTATTAATCTTAATTAATTTTAAACCAGCCTTAATGCATGCATTAAGTGGGTTTTCATGTGCCTTACCCAATTTTTTTTTTACCTCTGATGTTCTAAATTACTTAAAAAAAAAAATAAATAAAAAAAGGGATGAATGTGGGGAAAATAAATAGCCAAATTCAAATCCAAAAAAACCACAAAAACCTCGGATGAACACCTAAGATACCCAGTCAAAAATTAGCCCCTTTTCGGAAAACCAGGGAAGTATGATAACTGATGCATGCATGAATAAATATCACTTACTACTCTCAGGTGACTCAGTATAAATCTCCTGCAAGACCAGGACCCACACGTTACTGAATTCACAAACACTATCAGTAACTGCTTGTTGCTACCAACAGTAACAAAACCTACAAGGATACACACAAGAATTACAAGAATTACAGAGACTAGTGTTTCCCTACTAGACCACATCTGGACCAGCACTATATCCCCTTTAAAATCACGCAAAATAACAGATAATACCACAGACCACTACCTTACCTTCTTCATAACTAATCTAGGCAAATTACCCCAAGACACTACTAAAGTCACTTTCAGACTTCACAATGAGGCAGCCATTAATAACTTCACAACAGCAGTGACAAACATTGACTGGCACACTGAGCTAGAAATCTATACAGATATTGACAAATGTATTAATAATTTTCTAAAAAGACCCAATACCTCTAAAAACAAGCACTGCCCTAAAAAACTAAACAGATGACAGCTAAGAGACTGAACAGTCCCTGGCTAACACCCAGCATCCTCAAATCCCATAAAATACAAAGCACCAATATGAAAAACAGTACAGAATGGGTCACATAACCAGAGACCAAACAAAACGTTACTTATCAGTCCTAACCAGCCTGATAAGAAGAGCTAAAAAATTGTGTTATGAGAACAGATTATCCAACTTAAAAGGTGATATAAAAAAGGCCTGGAAAACCCTATCAGAAATTCTATGAACCAAAAAGATATCATGAAATAGTGCAATTGAACTAACAAAACCAGATGAACCCCACCTCCCCCAACTGAAACAGCAAACAGACTCAATGATTTCTTTTCCACCTCTCCAGGTAAACTCCAGGTAATAGGAAAAAACCTTGCCAATAAAATCCCAAGCTGAAATACCCCACCCAATGACTACCTCACTGGCAATTACCTGAACACACTGTTCCTAGCTCCGACTAACCCAACAGAAGTCTTCCTTATTATCAACACACTAAAAAACAAGACAGGAGATTTAAATACCTTACCACCCTTTATATACAAAAAAGCGTCGCAAGTGCTGTCACCAATCATTGCAACACTCTTTAACAAATCCATCGAATCCTCTACCTTCCCTACAGTTCTCAAAATAGCGAGGGTCACCCCGATACATAAAGGAGATCAAACAGACTTGAATAACTATAGGCCAATATCCAACTTACACCCTCTCTCTAAAATCTTCGAAAAATTAATTCTTAAGCAAATCTATTCCTACCTCATCTCCTACAACATACTCAACCCCTGTCAGTTTGGGTTCAGGCCTAATAAAAATACAAATGATGCTATTATGCACATGCTAGAACAAATATACACTGCACTAGAGAAAAAAGAAGTCCCACTGGGGATCTTCATTGATTTACATGAAGCTTTTGATACAGTTGGCCATAACTTGCTCCACATAAAATTATTGCACTAGGTAGGTGAGGGAGTGCCCTCTTATACCATCAAGTCATACCTCAGCAACAGAAGCCAATATGTGTACACAAATGGAGCAAACTCTTCTGCGCAACCAATTACAGTTGGTGTCCCACAGGGAAGTGTCCTTGGCCCTCTTCTCTTTCTCATTTACATAAATGACCACCCAAATGCATCGCAACTAATCAGACCCACACTATTTGCAGATGACACTACATGCGTCTTCTCTCACCCGAGCCCAGTCATGCTAGCCAATGCTCTGAATACCAAATTACAGAAAATATCTACCTGGATGAGGACTAACAAACTTACTCTCAACATTGACAAAACCTACTTCATTCAGTTTGGTAACAGAGCTACAGACGTCCCTCTTAACATAATGATTAACGGATCACCTATCACAAAGCTTCACAGAGGGAAAATTCTTAGGAATCCACCTTGATAATAGACTCAAATTTCAAACACATATACAGCAAATTTCCAAGAAAATTTCCAAGACCGTAGGCATACTATCAAAGATACGATACTATGTTCCACAGTCAGCCCTTCCTGGCCCTATATCACTCACTTATTTACCCCTATCTCACCTATGAAATATGTGCATGGGGCTCAACAACAATAAACCATCTCAGACCATTAATTACCCAACAAAAGGCTACAGTCAGAATGATAACAAATTCCCACTACAGGCAGCACACTCCACCAGTATTCAAAACTCTAAACAACCATACAAAACATCCATACTTATTATTGTACCTACTACATACATAGAACACTTAACTCAGATACAAACCCTCCCCTCAAACGTCTCCTTACCAACCTCAACAGAACACACGACCATAACACAAGGTACAGATCACTCTTTGATGTTCCTCGTGTCCATCTCACACTATGCAAAAACTCAATGCACATAAAAGGCCCAAAAATCTGGAATTCATTACCTGTGAATATATAAGAAACACTGTCTGTTTATAAATTCAAGTCTCTACTTAAAAATCACTTACTCACCCACAACTAAATAAATACTGAATAATTGTATCTCATAAATGTTTAACCTGTGACCCAATCAAACTTTGTTATTTTTAATTACATTAAGTTAATTTTAAGCCTGCCCATAATGATCTGCATACAAGGGGCTTTGGTATGTTACACTTAACCACTGTATTTTTTTGTTCTTCAATGTATCATGTTCAAATTAATAATTAATAAATAAATATCCATTGTGTCCTTACTTAGAATGTGAACTGCAACACTGGGTACCTATTTACTGAATGTGGGCATACATTTGAACCTGCTAAAAAACTACAATCTGGGTTGGTTTGTGAATTAGTTACCTAATTAATCCTATTTATATAAGTTTCACACAATCCACTGTTTTATTTAGAGCAGATGTTGAAGCCACAAAGTATTATTAATAGGTAAGTTTATTCAGGTACATTCACAGTTGCATAAATTATCATACATAGCAGCATATGTGTAGATTAAGTAGGAAAGCCTAAAAAAGTCAGTAACATTTCCATTGGGGTCCTTGTATTTTTATATTTGTCTGATTATAAGTGGGATGGTGGAAAATCAGTTCTGCTAGTATGGGTTTCATCTTGAGCAGCAATACTTCAAACCAGAGATTCTCCAGATTATAGTTGTGCAAGATGGGTTTTGTAAGCTAAATTATTTCTTGGGGTACACATGTATCACACCCCTTGTTAGATTAGCTGTTTTTCATCTTAAAATTATTACCTTGCATATTGACATCGTATTGCATTGTTTGTAGTTTAGTTTAATGTTTAACAAAACCTTGCTTTTGAGTACATAAGTTTAGTTATCACTGTGACCATTAATTAATTATTTATGCACTGGATACACCTTGCATGCACCCATCTTTCTCATGTTAATAGTGTTTGTTGAATTAGCAATGTTCTGTATACTGAGTCTGTGGTAGAATATACCGACAACTTTACTAATAAAGATACAGTATGCGGTTTATGGCACTTTAAGACTCATTGAATGCCTTCTCAATAAAATGCCATAAACCAGTCTTGTTAGGCTCAATGTACTGCATTGTACATTGAGGCTAACTTATCTGGATTCTCTTAATTTGTTAATAATTTTGTTTTATTTTCAGTCAGAGTAGAGATGAATGCCATAACCAGCTTCGTTGATTCCTTTACGGAACTCTTCAGTTTGACATCTCAAATGTTATCTCTGTCAGTGCGAGTATGGTCTCTTGGTGTTATGATCATTCTTCAACTTCTGGTCATTCTTGCAGGACTTCTTTGCTTATGCTGGTTTCTTCTCAAGCTTGTAAGTTTAATGACTATCATTATAGTTATGGTTTACAGTTACAATACTTAAAAGTTGATGACTAATAAACGTGTGATGTGCAACACGAGTATTTTTATTGCTGAATTGATTCGCCTTTGAACAGGGGTAACTTTTATAGTATAATAATTGCCTCTGGATTTGACTGAAGCCTTCTTTTCAAGTAAAACATTTCTGCAGTAAAGATACCAGTATTGAGCACATTTTAACACCTGAATACTCGAATATAAAATACTACATGCTTTAAAAAAATGAAGCATAAAGAATGTGTGAATCCTATTAGATATTAATGCCTTGCTTTAAACTGCATTTTTTATTAGTGTGTGCTTCCCTGTGTACATATATGGTTGCAGGGGCAGTCACAGCTCCTGGCCCTGTGTGTTCATGTGAACATTTTGTGAGGTATTGGAGAGCTGAAAGGGGCTGTGTGGAGAATATTTATGGAGAAATATTCTCCACACATTTTATAATTTACAGTATTTTCTGACTTCTAACTACATAATTTTTTTCTCATTTCAGTGTATGCATACATTACGGAAAGGTGAACCAGGATATCTTCATGTAGCATTCTTTCATCCATATTGCAATGCTGGAGGAGGGGGTGAAAGGGTTCTCTGGTGTGCCATAAGATCACTTCAGAGAAAGTTAGTAGACACTGTAAACTTATTGATAATTAGTAAAATTCTACAGTACAGGAGAATAATGTATTCTGTACAGAACTTAAAGGATAAACATTGTAAAAAAATGTTACTCATTAGAGCAGTATTACTATTTTAAATATTATCAGTGGGAAAAAAATGGGTTAATCTGGGAGAATGGGAGTGGAATTGCAGTGATACTGGTGAAGGGCTCTTATTTCAAAGAATGAGAAATGTCCTCTCCTTTATTGGATCAAACATGATTACCTCCCATTACCCAGGTGTTGCATAATTCTTATGAGTTTACTACCACTTCCACGTAATCATATTTATTAAAATTGCATATCATTTAGCCTCTGTTTATAGTGATGCTGTTTTTTGGGGGAGGGGGGGGGAAACTAAACAATTGCCCTATGCCATTTCCATCACCTTACCTTTCAGTGTTTTCCTTGGTCTTTTAAATACCTGTACTCATTTGGAACATATGATGTGTTTAAAAATTCTAGATTCTAGTTTGGCTAATATTTATACTATTAAGGACATATTTTGATTACTGTATGTGTGTGTGTGTGTGTGTGTGTGTGTGTGTGTGTGTGTGTGTGTGTGTGTGTGTGTGTGTGTGTGTGTGTGTGTGTGTGTGTGTGTGTGTGTGTGTGTGTGTACTTGCCTAATTGTACTCGCCTAATTGTGGTTGCAGGGGTCGAGACTCAGCTCCTGGCCCCGCCTCTTCACTGATCGCTACTGGTGTGTGTGTGTGTGTGTGTGTTTTTTTCCTCAACCAACCGGCCGTATCCCACCAAGGCAGAGTGGCCCAGAAAGAAAAACGAAAGTTTCTCTTTTTAAATTTAGTAATTTATACATGAGAAGGGGTTACTAGGCCCTTGCTCCCGGAATTTTAGTCGCCTCTTACAACATGCATGGCTTACGGAGGAAGAATTCTGTTCCACTTCCCCATGGAGGTAAGAGGAAATAAACAAGAACAAGAACTAGAAAGAAAATAGAAGAAAACCCAGAGGGGTGTGTATATATGTTTGTACATGTATGTGTGGTGTGACCTAAGTGTAAGTAGAGGTAGCAAGATGTACCTGAAATCTTGCATGTTTATGAGACAGAAAAAAGGACACCAGCAATCCTACCACAAGGGCAGTTTAATCTTAATATAACTGTCTGTCTCTCAAGGTTTCTTGTCCATTTTAATTTACTTTTTATTCCTACATTTTGAAGTTTCCAAATTTGTCTTTATGGGGAAACTGTTAGTAAAAGCTTTCTTAAATGTACGTGGATATAATCTTCCTATCCATTTTCTTAACTGTATGTGAGTCATAATGGCTTAATATTAAAATATTGCTATACAGGTACAATGCTGATTTTCTGGCACCCTTGGTTCCTAGGCTTTGTCATTTTATAGGTTTGGCTGGACCAGCAAAGATCACATAATTTAACAGTATACCTCTGACCCACCATGATCTGCTGGAAATTGAAAATGTTCACTAACATAAATGGAAGCAGGGTTATTTATTAATATACTTGCAAAGGATGCTGCAGCACTACTATTCCCTAAGTAGTAAATAATGGGATTTTACTGGCACTGTAGAACTAATCACAAACATCTGGAAGTGAAGGGTTGTTAGGAACTGATGTCACAGGGAGAACATTGGGGGTACTTAAAGTTAAAGCCAAAACATTTTCAGATGGCCTACTGCTATGACACATTCTTCTTGGCTGTCTTCTTAAATATTTCATGCAAATGAAGTTGTTTCAGGTGCTTTGCTCTTTCTCTGTGTAAATTTCTTCATGCCTCTAATAAAAAAAAATTAGCTCTTGTTCTGTCAGAGGGATGTGTTCTAGCCCTGTGATTAATTCACCTGACAACTCTTAAGTTAATAGCCAAAGCTATTGGTAGTTACTTGGATAGCCATTAACCCTAGCCATAGCTAGGGTGAAATTTTAGCAAAATGTGCAAAGAGTTGCACAGTCGAGAGATAATTACAAATTGCATTTTAAACTTCAAGCAAGCATGTACTCTTAATTTTTTTTTTTTTTTTTTTTTTTTTTTTTTTTTCAACAAGTCGGCCGTCTCCCACCGAGGCAGGGTGACCCAAAAAAAGAAAGAAAATCCCCAAAAAGAAAATACTTTCATCATCATTCAACACTTTCACCACACTCGCACATTATCACTGTTTTTGCAGAGGTGCTCAGAATACAACAGTCTAGAAGCATAAACATATAAAGATACACAACATATCCCTCCAAACTGCCAATATCCCAAACCCCTCCTTTAAAGTGCAGGCATTGTACTTCCCATTTCCAGGACTCAAGTCCGACTATATGAAAATAACCGGTTTCCCTGAATCCCTTCACTAAATATTACCCTGCTCACACTCCAACAGATCGTCAGGTCCCAAGTACCATTCGTCTCCATTCACTCCTATCTAACACGCTCACGCACGCTTGCTGGAAGTCCAAGCCCCTTACCCACAAAACCTCCTTTACCCCCTCTCTCCAACCCTTTCGAGGACGACCCCTACCCCGCCTTCCTTCCCCTATAGATTTATATGCTTTCCATGTCATTCTACTGTGATCCATTCTCTCTAAATGACCAAACCACCTCAACAACCCCTCTTCTGCCCTCTGACTAATACTTTTATTAACTCCACACCTTCTCCTAATTTCCACACTCCGAATTTTCTGCATAATATTTACACCACACATTGCCCTTAAACAGGACATCTCCGCTGCCTCCAACCGTCTCCTCGCTGCTGCATTTACCACCCAAGCTTCACACCCATATAAGAGTGTTGGTACTACTATACTTTCATACATTCCCTTCTTTGCCTCCATAGATAACGTTTTTTGACTCCACATATACCTCAACGCACCACTCACATTTTTTCCCTCATCAATTCTATGATTAACCTCATCCTTCATAAATCCATCCGCCGACACGTCAACTCCCAAGTATCTGAAAACATTCACTTCTTCCATACTCCTCCTCCCCAATTTGATATCCAATTTTTCTTTATCTAAATCATTTGACACCCTCATCACCTTACTCTTTTCTATGTTCACTTTCAACTTTCTACCTTTACACACATTCCCAAACTCATCCACTAACCTTTGCAATTTTTCTTTAGAATCTCCCATAAGCACAGTATCATCAGCAAAAGTAACTGTGTCAATTCCCATTTTGAATTTGATTCCCCATAATTTAATCCCACCCCTCTCCCAAACACCCTAGCATTTACTTCCTTTACAACCCCATCTATAAATATATTAAACAACCATGGTGACATTACACATCCCTGTCTAAGACCTACTTTTACGGGAAGTAGTCTCCCTCTCTTCTACACACCCTAACCTGAGCCTCACTATCCTCATAAAAACTCTTTACAGCATTTAATAACTTACCACCTATTCCATATACTTGCAACATCTGCCACATTGCTCCTCTATCCACTCTATCATATGCCTTTTCTAAATCCATAAATGCAATAAAAACTTCCCTATCTTTATCTAAATACTGTTCACATATATGCTTCAATGTAAAACACTGATCTACACATCCCTACCCACTCTAAAACCTCCTTGCTCATCCGCAATCCTACATTCTGTCTACCTCTAATTCTTTCAATTATAACCCTACCGTACACTTTTCCTGGTATATCAGTAAGCTTATTCCTCTATAATTTTTACAGTCTCTTTGTCCCCTTTCCTTTATATAAAGGGACTATACATGCTCTCTGCCATCCCTAGGTACCTTCCCCTCTTTCATACATTTATTAAACAAAAGTACCAACCACTCCAACACTATATCCCCCTGCTTTTAACATTTCTGTCATGATCCCATCAGTTCCAGCTGCTTTACCCCTTTCATTTTACGTAATGCCTCACGTACCTCCCCCACACTTACATTCTGCTCTTCTTCACTCCTAAAAGATGGTATACCTCCCTGACCAGTGCATGAAATTACTGCCTCTGTTTCTTCCTTAACATTTAAAAGTTCCTCTCAATATTCTCGCCATCTACCCAATACCTCCATCTCCCCATCTACTAACTCCCCTACTCTGTTTTTAACTGACAAATCCATATTTTCCCTAGGCTTTCTTAACTTGTTTAACTCACTCCAAAATTTTTTCTTATTTTCATTAAAATTTCTTGACAGTGCCTCTCCCACTCTATCATCTGCTCTCCTTTTGCACTCTCTCACCACTCTCTTTACCTTTCTTTTACTCTTAATTTTGCCTGTACTAAAAGAAAAGCCAGACAATCCATTGCCAGTAAATTGATATCGTACCTGTATTACTATAAACTTGAAATGCGTGTACTGTACACATATGAACACAAGTGAAGCTTTTTTTTTTTCCCCCCTAGGTATCAGAATGTCAAGTGCTATGTTTACACTGGAGACACGGATGTTACCTCTCAACAGATACTTCAAAAAGCTCGACAAAGGTTCAATGTAATCTTGCCTCAACCAGTTGAATTCATATTCCTCCAGAGTCGAACTCTTGTTGAAGCTAAGCACTATCCTTTTGTAACACTCATGATGCAAAGTATAGGATCCATCATACTGGCGGGTGAGGCACTGTCTAAGTTTCGTCCAGACATATATATTGATTCCATGGGTTATGCATTCACTTACCCTGTATTTCGTTACATTGGAGGCTGTGTAGTAGGCTGTTACACACATTACCCAACAATAAGTACAGATATGTTGGAACAAGTTGCAAACAGAGTTGAAGCACACAATAACAGAAGATTCATCTCTAGCAATATAGTTTTTAGCACATTAAAATTAGGCTATTACCATTTATTTGCACTAATGTATGCATTAGTTGGACACTGTGCACACTTAGTTATGGTAAACTCATCCTGGACACATGGCCACATTACAGCACTTTGGGGACAGTCTCGTCAGACACACATTGTGTATCCACCATGTGATACTCAGCATTTCAAAAGTCTCCCCAAGATTCCAGACTCTGAGAAGAAGCTTAAGAGTATTATTTCTATTGGTCAGTTTCGTCCAGAAAAGGATCATTCTCTCCAACTGAAAGCTTTCCAGAGGCTTTGTGAAATCCTTGATTCAGATATTAAGGAAGTTGTTCAGCTTGTATTGATAGGTAGTTGTAGAAATAATGAGGATTACCAAAGGGTAGAAAACTTAAAAACTCTTGCATCTACATTAGGAATTAATGATAAAGTAGTTTGGAAACTTGATGCCTCTTTCCCGGAACTTTTAGAATATGTTCAAAATGGGACAGTTGGTTTGCATACAATGTGGTGTGAACATTTTGGTATTTGCATTGTTGAATGCATGGCAGGTGGGCTTATCATGGTGGCTCATGATTCTGGTGGACCAAAAATGGATATTGTTGTTGAGTTTGATGGTCAACGAACAGGTTACAGAGCCACAGACCCTGAATCTTATGCCCAGGCAATCAAAACAATTTTGGAATCTACTGATGAAGACAGAAATAGTATACGCATTTCAGCTAGAAATTCAGTTGACAGATTCAGTGATGAGCAGTTTGAAACTTCTTTTCTTTGTGCAAGTGAAAGTATTTTCTCTAATGCAGTATTAAGTTAGTGAATTGCTAGCATTTTCAGTAAAAAAAAAAATTGATATTCATTGTAGTGTCAGATATACTTAGGTGTGACACTTAAAACAAGAATGTGACCTAAGTGAATGGTCAGCAGCATTAGTGTAGGACTTTAAATTCATCTTCTGATTGTTATGTTCTCATAAATGATTACCATGTCATGAAATTTAGGTGATAAGCATTAATTTTCTTGTAAATGATGAACATGCACCTTTGTTTTCTCTTAGAAATGCACATTTATATTTTGGTATCTATTATTTTTGTTCCCTCAGTTATTGTATACTGTATTCATAGATGGCAAGATACTTTTAAGGGTCATACATTATAGCATAGCACTGCATTGCATAAGCAAAATAGTGAGAGAATCTAGGCATTGAGGGAAGGACATCAGCTGGAAGGATGAGAGCTAGAATTTGATAAAATATATTAATGCATATTAACCCGTAAACGATCCAAGCAGATCTACGTTTACGTGTGTAGTGCTACAAAAGTAGATTACGTTTTTGTTACATATTTTCAAATACATATAACAAAAAAAAAAAGTAGATCAAAGTTTTTTACACATTTTCAAATGTAAAAAAATAAAAAGATCTACTTTTTTACACACTTTCAAATGTTGAAAAAAAATGTATATACAGTGGACCCCCGCTTAACGATCACCTCCAAATGCGGCCAATTATGTAAGTGTATTTATGTAAGTGCGTTTGTACGTGTATGTTTGGGGGTCTGAAATGGACTAATCTACTTCACAATATTCCTTATGGGAAAAAATTCAGTCAGTACTGGCACCTGAACATACTACTGGAATGAAAAAAGTTCGTTAACCGGGGGTCCACTGTATAAGTTTGGACCGTTTACGGGTTAAAGATAGAACAGTCAGGTGGTAAGGTAGATAGTGTGTACGTGTGTATTTCAGAATGTTTTCCTCAACATTTTAAATGAATATAAACAACCATCTGTAGCAGAACAAGTCCTTATTGTTGCAATAAAAGCTTGCTCTGCTCTATTTGCCTTTATTCCTTTTAGTAGTATGCTTTTCAACAAACCAGTCTGAAATGAATAGTGTCCTTGCTGATGAATGAGAGAATCTATTATAAAGTTCTGAGCTGTCAGGATTTGTTAGTGAAAAATGGTACGGAAAAAGTATGCCATACTGAATGAAGTCCTTTATTCACAAGATGTTGCCTTTGATGCCATTTTTCTCTTGCTAACTTCCTGTCTGAGGGAGTAACCTCATGTTGATCTGGTTACATGCCTATACTGAGAAATAAAGATGTATGTGAAAGATAATGACTTGTCCTTATCTAACAAATAAGTGAAATAGATGGGCAGTGTTTAACCCTTACAAGTTTAACATTTGCCCCATAAATATAATTATAGTGAGAAAGGAAGAGCATATTGTATTTCATGAAGCACTACTCATTTTGGCATAATATTTATTATAGGTCAGAATATTCGTCTTACATTTTCCTTTCTTTTCTGTCCCTGTAGTTTGGAAAAAAGCTTAACTTAGTATAGTAATCCCTGCCTCTGACAGAAGAAAATTGCCATAAACAAAATTGACATTTAAATTAAAACCATTTTCCCATAGACTCCCTTCTAATCAGATGTTTGAGAAAAATTTCAGTTAAGTTGTCCCCTATACTTTTTTCTTCAGAGTCCAGTAAATATAGTATGTCTGGCAAAATACACTTCAGTTGACAGGACACTCAATGTTGATAATTAGCATCTATAATTTGGAAAAGTGTGAAGGAGGTTGTTTTAGTATAGTGTATGGAGAAAAGAGGGAGTAGTGTTAGATGGTATACAATATCAAATTTAGTATTCTGAACTGGTCATTGCACCACATTTCTTGACAGCAACAGTACCCAATAAAATAGTCACTTTGGTGTATAAAGTAACTTTTTTTTTTTTTTCATCCTTCAAACCACTACAAACTGTACTGGGAGAGAAAACAAAATAGGCATACTTAATGACTTTCCAAGTAATATCAGTGGCTTTCTAGAAGTCTTGCAAAAGCTGCATAGATCTGCCTGCCTGCAAAAGTATTCCCCATTATACCCTTATTACCTAAATGAAGTACACAAAAAAAAGCGAATTGTCACTAATTCAGGGAGCATCATAGCTTTTATTTGGTATCTGTTCTTGCCTATAATATGTGTGCTTAGATTTTTAATGATCTGATTAGCAAGGACACTTGTATTCACTCCTGTTTGCTTCAGTTTATGGAGTCTAATTTCATTCTTTTTCTGTAAAAGTATCTAGTTTATATAAAATAAAACTAAATGCAGCATTTCTTGCCTTTGAGTGTTTATAACTGAGATCTATATTTTTTTTTTTTTCTGAAATTCATATTTTATGCTTTAATACAGATAAGTTGTAAGTAAAGAGTTTACCAAAGATTTTGATATTTTCTTTTCCTGCTGAAAATGTAATACATTGTGTTTTAAACTGCAATCGTGTCATTACGATTTCTTAAGTCATTGTGTTTTGTTTAGCCTCCAAAATTGACAGGAAAATCCTCTGGGAACTATACAGGAGAGGAAGTTGATAGAGGAGTCAGGTCATAATCAGTCTGTACAGACTGATAAATTCCTGCAGTCTTGTCCAAGATCCTCAGAATTAAAAGCAGCAGTAATGAGTTAGTGAGACCTTAGTATGAATTATAATATTTACTTGGATAGAATGGGGGATGATAGTGTAAATTGAGGTGGGTCAGGAATTGGAAGAGGTTTGTGCAGTGAATGAAGTGGAAGGGAGGCAACCACAGTACAGCTAAAGGGCATTTCATCCCTCAAGGTACCTAACCACAGTACAGCTAAAGGGCATTTCATCCCTCAAGGTACCTAGATGCCAGTTGTCCTACCCCTTTGGACCAAACTTGAATGCCTACCATTTCTCAGGCACTTGAAGGGTTAATGCTTCCCTGACTAAAATAAAATGAAGGATATTGCACAAAGTGTAGGTTGCAAAGGGGCGAGCAACAGGAAGCAGTGATGCATTTGTAATGTAGACAGTGTTCATGTAACTGGGCAAATGAGTGGATTAAGATTGAACTCCAACTCCTCTAGGCTACAACTGGGGATCCCTCAGAGGCTATTTGATTCTGGTGATGGGGAGGCTTTTGAGCCATGGAGAGGGGTAGCTCTAATTCTTTTGATAGAGCTCATCACCAAAATCATGGCACCCTGCTGTGAAGGGTGTATAATCAGACTAATGCTAAAGAAAAAAAATCACAACCGAATTGTATTGATAGCAAAAAAACCTATTGGTAATCATTTTATTGAAGACATAATGGCTCCTAATGTAGATTTATGATGACTGTAAACAGTGTTACTGGTATTAAGCATAAGTCTCAACTTTTACTGTTTCGTCATCAATGTAATAATGTACCAAGTTAAATGCTAAGCACAAAGGGGTTGTACAGTGCATCATCGAAAAAAGAGGGGTTTGGATGTGCTTCTAGTATGTCATAATTTGGTCCTTTCTAAGACTGATTCTCATAACTTTTGCCATAACTCAAATAGGTTTTTCATAAATTTTTGAATTCAGTCATTATTCCTTCATGTAAGTGATTTGGAATTGCCCTCTCCCAAATCTAGAACTTCATTATACTTCACTTCTCCATTTCTCTTACCAGAAGGCAATTGTCTTATTGGGTTCCTGAGAAAAACCAAGACTTCTACTATGAGCTTGTCAGCATAATGTATGCTCCATGATATGGCTCTAGAAATAATTAAAGTGAGTCTCTTAGGGGTTATAAGAATGACAAAGGATTAAAAATTAATTGAACAAAAATCACACAAGGATATGTGTATGTAAATAAAGTTCTATTCCCTATGTTGACCTACAATTTTGATATATCTATCCCTCATGGGAGATGCCTCGAATGCAAAACTACTAGCACAAGCACTCTGTATTCTTTGGAGAAAGACCTTAGCTCTAGGTAGAATCTCAGAGGCTTTAAAAAGTGCGCATACAGCTCCTTTGCATAAAGGACACAGTAGAGCACGCACTAACGAGAAATTATCGGCTGATAGCCCAAACATCACATGTTCAAATAAACATATATAGATTTGTTTGCCACCATTATATAGGGTCTTGTCAATAATAATATTTTATTTCAACATGATATATGTTTGTACAAAGGAATATAATACTAGTGGTACCTTGAGTTTTGAACAGCTCCCAACTCAAACAGTTAAGTAAGTGTATTTTTGTAAGTGCTTTTGTAAGTGTATTTTTGAGGGTCTCAAATGGACTAATCTAATTTACATTATTCCTTGTGAGAACAAATTTGTTCGGTAACGGCACTCGAACAGCCTTCTGGAACGAATTAATTTTGTAACTCGGGGTACCACTGTAGTTGGGTATACATGCATGTAAGTGTTAGTTCTGATCCGAAAACATATTTGTATAAGTTCTGTATTTGCAGTATTGTTGAATGCAGTTGGATCGTCATTTCACTTGATTAAACTTATCTGCGAACAAGTAGTTAAAGTCCCTGTGAAGCACTGTAATGGTAGCTGAAGAGTACCTGTACATGAGGAGTTGGCAGTGGGCGTGAAAGTTTGTGAATGGTAATTTTTTATTTTGAAAGTGAAAGATGCCATGGTAAGAGAAACACTTCGCTTGCACATTAGGCATCTTCAGGTGAATACAGTAATGGAAGCAAGTAGGTTTAAGGGACCAACCACCACCTACTAAGAACAATGGATTGATCAAAGAAGATAACATGTTATGTGGAGGAGGAAGATTCTAAGACATGTAGGTGTGAAAGAAAAATTCTAACATGCATTTGAGTGGAAGATTCTGTTACACGAGAGGAAGATCCCAAAAAGTTTTATGGGGTGTGGGAGAAAGAGTCAAACATGTTACATAGATGTGGGAGGAAGATTTCAACACATGAATTGTGGGAAGATTCAAAAGCATGTGGGCATGGGAGGAAGATTTCAACACATGGAGCATGGGAAGATTCAGAAGCATGTGGGCATGGGAGGAAGATCTGAATATGTCGTGTGGAAGATTTGAACACGTTGTGTGGGAGGACCCCTCAAGGGAGGTTCCTTGATGTGGGTGAGGGGGCTCTTGATCTAGGGAATTGGATCTGTGCTCCAGTTCCCCGAATTAAGCCTGAATACCTTCCACATTCCCCCCACAGGCGCTGTATAATCCTGGGCTTAGCGCTTCCCCCTTGATTATCATAATAATAATTGAAACACGTCATGCGGGAGGGAGATCTAAAACACGTCATGTGGGAGGAAGATCTGAAACACGATCATGCGGGAGGAAGATCTGAAACATGTCATGCGGGGGGAAGATTTGAAACACGTCATGTGGGAGGAAGATTTGAAACACGTCATGGGGGAAGATCTGAAACACGTCATGCGGGAGGAAGATCTGAAACACGTCATGCGGGAGGAAGATCTGAAACACGTCATGCGGGAGGAAGATCTGAAACACGTCATGTGGGAGGAAGATCTGAAACGTCATGCAGGAGGAAGATCTAAAACACGTCATGCGGGAGGAAGATCTGAAACATGTCATGCGGGAGGAAGATCTGAAACATGTCATGCGGGAGGAAGATCTGAAACACGTCATGCAGGAAGATTTGAAACGTCATGTGGGAGGAAGATTTGAAACACGTCATGCGGGAGGAAGATCTGAAACACACAAAGTTCATGCGGGAGGAAGATCTGAAACACGTCATGCGGGAGGAAGATCTGAAACACGTCATGCGGGAAGATTTGAAACGTCATGTGGGAGGAAGATTTGAAACACGTCATGTGGGAGGAAGATTTGAAACACGTCATGCGGGAGGAAGATCTGAAACACGTCATGCGGGAGGAAGATCTGAAACACGTCATGCGGGAGGAAGATCTGAAACACGTCATGCAGGAGGAAGATCTGAAACACGTCATGCGGGAGGAAGATCTGAAACACGTCATGCGGGAGGAAGATCTGAAACACGTCATGCAGGAGGAAGATCTGAAACACGTCATGCGGGAGGAAGATCTGAAACACGTCATGCGGGAGGAAGATCTGAAACACGTCATGCGGGAGGAAGATCTGAAACACGTCATGCGGGAGGAAGATCTGAAACACGTCATGCGGGAGGAAGATCTGAAACACGTCATTGCGGGAGGAAGATCTGAAAACACGTCATGCGCGAGGAAGATTTGAAACACGTCATGCGGGAGGAAGATCTGAAACACGTCATGCGGGAGGAAGATCTGAAACACGTCATGCGGGAGGAAGATCTGAAACACGTCATGCGGGAGGAAGATCTGAAACACGTCATGCGCGAGGAAGATTTGAAACACGTCATGCGGGAGGAAGATCTGAAACACGTCATGCGGGAGCAAGATCTGGTACATACACACTGATAGTTGTGCATCCCAGGCAGTATATATCCTGAAAGTTTACTTTAATGCTTATTTTTGGTATTTAAAACAACAACAGCGTTGTCATGCTAGCAAAAAAAAAAAAAAGAAATACCACACAATTTTTTCGTTATATATATAACGGGATAATAAAATCGTCGCATAACCCTAAAATAAATTAGTTCTTGAAGAACAAGGAGCTACTGTGATGAACACATCGAGAAAGATATGAGGATTCAGGTGCTGCGTAATATTGTGCTATTATTATTATTATTATATGGAGACAAGCGTAATTGGGAGAGATCAATATATTTATAGTGAGGTGTGTGAAGACTCCAGTTGGATACCAAGACAAATTAAGTCACTTGTGAGCCATGGATAAGATGTCTAGTTGTATTCTCTCTCTCTTAGATAATGATGAAGAACTCTTACACGCAGCTGTGGACACATTGCTGAAGGTAATGTGTATATATTTGTGTGTGACAATGATTCATTGTATTGTTTTACTGTAATCCTTCATAAATTATTTGATTGTTTTGAGGTATCCTTAGTTGTATCTAAAATATTTAAATGGTATTGAAGACCCCAGTGGAAGTCCCAATGACCCCAATGGAAGTCCCAATGACCCCAGTGGAAGTCCCATTGACCCCAATGGATGTCCCAATGACTCCAATGGAAGTCCCATTGACCCCAATGAAAGTCCCAATGACCCCAATGGAAGTCCCAATGACCCCAATGGAAGTCCCAATGACCCCAATGGAAGTCCCAATGACCCCAATGGAAGTCCCAGTGACCCCAATGGAAGTCCCAATGACCCCAATGGAAGTCCCAGTGACCCCAATGGAAGTCCCAATGACCCCAATGGAAGTCCCAATGACCCCAATGGATGTGTACCTGTACCTAAATAAACTTAAGAAATGTTGGGATATATAATATAATATATATAGGTTAAGTTATCTTATGATAATTATATATAATATTGAAGCAGTGCTATATGACCCGTGTAGGTTTAGCACTTTCTTTGATTATAATAGTGTATATATATTATTGAAAATTTTCAAGTCTAAATTTAATTAGGTACAGTAAGTTTGGCATTGGGTATATAAGATACAAGTTTACAGTGGTCTTGAGGGTACATGTGCTATGGTCACAAGTACATAGTGTAGTATAAACCTAGGGAAGATAGATTAGCCAACTATTATGGGTCATATACTGAGGAAGAGGACTAAAATTCCCAGTGGAAATAAATCAAACTGATTAACTTTCTCGAGTTATCCTGGGATAATATCCCTCCTGTTAGATAATGTGAATAAAGTCTTCAACGACTGCCTTTATTCACTTGGTAATAAATAGGTACCTGTTATGGGTTGCATCCTGGAGAAGAACAATGAAGAACCAAACAGAAATAAGCCACACTGCTTGGTTTTCTTGGTTTCCTGGGTTTATAGTGCTTTGGGGTTAATAATCCAAAGGGAAAAGCCTTTTTGATATTATCAGTAACATTTTTTTAAGCCTTTTCAGATGTAAAAAATTTAACAAACCTGCCAGTGGTGAAAAAGGAAAAGTGCAGAGAGGTAGATTGTTGAGATGTTTTTGCCTGGAATGGGCAAAATGTTTATTGAAGGCTTTGTTTTTTCCCAAAAAAATCGTCATTAGGAGAAAAACCTTTACGGTGATATTTTGATTTGTCCGGCCCATTGTAACCCCAAAATGATAAAAGGGAAAGACTGAAACATTGTTATAAGGTTTTCCTCCTAATTCAGCCACAGTATTGAAGCTTGATTGAGTAAAAAAAAAAAAAAAAAATTTCCCAAAGGCAATAATGTCTTAATAAAGTTGTTCTGGCACTTGTATCGTTTTCATCATTTGCCATAACTATTGGAGGGGGAGAAAAGAATATACACTTAACAGTTATAAAAGGCGAATTTGGGTATTTTCCCAAAATTAAAGCTTCATTCTTCTTATCTGTGGCTGGGTTGATACCCCACCCGGGTTAAATACTGAATTTTCCAGGGTTTTGTTTCCCCGGCTGGGGGGGGAAAATATTGGGCAGGTTCCCTTACTTTTTTGGGTTATCTTGGGGGGGCAAACCCCTCTGGGTTAAAAATCAAAAAATCTTATCCCCCCTGCATCTTAATGATTTTATTGGATCATTATTGTCAGAAATTATGCCTTTATTTTATAGTTTAGCATAATAATGTATTAGAGTAACTATTTCATACACCTGCCAGAGTGTTATAATGCTTAATTTAACATGTTGGCTCTGGAGGTTTAAATACTTCAGCTGATTTTTGGTGGGTACACCAGATGTTACATTATACGTATTAATTGGGCTTGGGTTAGGTTTTTTAGGCTTTTACATTTATACTAGAAATAATTGCCAGCATTATGCTGAGTGAGATTTTCTTTTATAGTCAGCAGATCTGCTTATAATTTTTCTTAAAATCTCAATTTACTATATTGTGACTTGCATGTAATATCAATACTGTATTAGTATTGTTCCTTATGAGTTTTATTGTGTGTTTTTGCTGTGTAAGTAATTGATTTTAGATTGCGAAAACATATTAGGGTCCCCAAATGAGAAATTCGCAGTGTGAATTGAGCGCTGTGTAAGGAGCAAAAATTGTTCCTGCCTTTGGGGCCCTTGGGAAGTTCTCTTTCTCATGGGGTTTGAGGGGAAAGATTGTGTCCCTTTTTTCTTCCTTCATCTCCTTCCATTCGACAGTATTAAACAGTTTTTTTTTTTTTTGTTTAAAAAAAATACTGTACTATACAACCGAAACGTCAAAGGGTTTTAAAGTCCAATTTAAATAATGAAAAAATTTTCCCTTGTTGAATTATTGAAATTTTACATGTTATTTAGAACTTTAAAAAATTAAAAATGTTGATTTTTGGGGTATGCTTTTTAAATATTTTTAATCTGCTTAATATTGACACATTTAAAAGATAAAATTAATAGCAAGAAACAGTTTTGTCTGAAAGGGAATCAGTGACCCAACACTTTTTAAAGAAAAAATCCTAGGTTTTTTCTTTTTAGGGGGTTTGGTGTTTTAAACCAAACAGAAAAATAGGCTGCTATAAAAATTGGAATTTTGAAGAGAAATGAAAAATGTTAGAAAAATATTTGTCTTAAAATTTTAATCATGTAAAATTACAAAGCACACAAAATCTGAGGTTTGACTGGATGATTGCATAAAGCCCCCCTCATGTAAATGGAGTACACCCAATGTTATGTACTGTATTGTATATAAGTTTGCATATATAACTTTAATGTGAGTGCTGTTTGAATATTTAACAAGAATACTTACAGACATTTCTCTTAATTCAAGTACAGTAACCTGGTTAATTCAAGCTAGATTAATTGGACAGTTACAAAATTAAGTGCAGTAGTCGTTGTATTTTTTTGAGGGGGGAATGAGAGAAGCTGAATTGGACATTGCTTTCCCAGCAATACTTTATATTTTATCAGTCATGTAGGACTTTTCTCCCAATCTGTGGTAAGTTTGGTCAGTAACAAATTTCATTAGAAAAAATAGACTGTAATTTCCTTTGGTAAAAACATTCATCATCAAAAAAACATTTGATTTTGTTTTGGGTGGGAATTGTGGGGGTACTAATGCCCCAAGCAGTGTGCTTGAAACCCCCTGCCCCCCTTTTCAGCAAATGGCCTTTGGATCTCCCACGAGTTCAAAACACCGAAGAAATGTATCAGTATTAAAGATGGAAGGTAAAAAGTGTTTCCTTTGAGTCTTATTTTATTTTGAAAATAATTAAAATGTGCTGTATTTTTTTAAATCGAACCTTCATTGTGGAAAAAATTCTGTGTTTGGGTAATGATAAGTTGATTTTCCCAAAAGATATCACTCAAAAAATTTACGCAGATAGACAAAAAACTGCTAAAGCGAAGCATGACAGAATAAAAAAAATTAACAACAACTTTTTTAAAGGAGGTTTTCAAAATCTGATCCTGAATTACAAGTAAATAACCCTGCTATAGAAAATTTTTTTTTTACTGTGTATTATAGATGAAATACTGGAAATCTGAATTTTAAAAAAAATCAGATTTTTTTTTTTAAAGGGCCATTCCCATGGGGCAATTGTTTTGTTAAAATACAAGGCGTGCCAAAAATAAAAGGGAGGCAAAAATTAAGGTAAAATGAGAGTATGATTTAGTGTGATCGGGAAAATATGAATGTGAATTTTTTTTGTTAACCTTTTGCTTTTTCCCATTAAATAAAAAATACGGGGACCCCCGCCTTAACGATTACCCCCCAAATGCAAAATTTTGAAAGTTTATTTATGTAAGTGCGTTTGTACATGTATGTTTGGGGGGTTTAAAGCACTAATTTACTTTCCCCAAAATTCCTTATGGGAACAAATTCGTCATACGGCACCTAACTACTTCTGGAATGAAAAAATATCTTAACCGGGGGTCCATGTACTCCATACCAAAATTTGAGAAATTAGAGGGTTTATTTAAGGGTAAACCAATGCCTCAAACCTTCACTGCTCATAAAAAAGGGGCTTGCTGTTTTCTGTTTAGGGAAAAAAGGAAACCCAAAAGGCTTAAATTCTCTTTTTGGGTTTGCAGAAGTGTGAGAAAAAAAACATCATTTTCCCGTACAATAGAATTTTTTTTTCTTTATGCAGTATAATAAAAAGTTTTTAAAATAATAAAAAAACTGGTGGCAAATAGAAAAACCATAATTATGCAGTGCATTTAGGAAAACTAACTAAGGATTAATGTTACTTCAGAACTGACGACTACTAAGTAGGGCTTATTGCAGTTACAACAATATAAGTACAAAAGAAAGGGAGCTAAAGACAAATGGTGAGTCGTAGATTACATATTATTTCAAATTGTTCAATAATTTCGTTTTGTGGGGTGTTGAATAGGTGGGAAGATAAAGCAATTACTTATTCATTAGACTACATAGGCAAATGTGTTACCCAAATTTTGTTTGGAAGTTGAGGAAAAGGTGGAAAAAAACAGGGATAGAATTTGGGTGAGCTGGTTTTATTTGACATGGGGTAATGAGTCTTTGTTTCGTGAAGGTGTGAGGTGCTTTATAACAAAAACTGAATCACCTGGCTGATGGGGGCCTTTTGATGTGTTGGCAGGGGTTCCAGTCTTAGGGCATTTTATGTGCATTGAGCTTTTAAAACAGGTGAGTCGCACAGAGGCTGTGGGAGATTTTTGTATTGTGTTTGCTGTGTGCTCTGTTGCTGTTTAAAGGAAAATTTTCGAGAAGAGTTTTTATTGGAATTTTCGTTTGATTTTAATGGGGACAGTGGTATGAGTGATATTTTGTAAAATTATGTATGTTCAAAATTTTAAAAGAGTAGAGGGTGTTGTCTGGCACTGGAATGGGGATTGCCGCACGCGCCTTTATGTTGGGTTATTAATGGGTTTTTGGTGATTTGGTGTATAGATACCTAGGTAAATTCCCTATGGTAGTAAGGTAGATAAGGGGGAAAATACAATGTAAGTAGCCAGCGGGGATGCTAAAGTCAGCATGCCACAAGCAAGACGGTGATGGGGAAACGAGTGATTGGGGTGTTTTTTTTTTTCAGGTCCCCACCCGTGGGGATAGATGTGTTTTAAAAAAATAAAAAATCAACAATAAAGACTAAAAATTTAAAAATTTGGAATTTCATTTGCTGAGGTGAAAATTTGGTGTCATGGGGGCTGTAAATAGAGTCCCATTATCACAAAACTTTTTTGGGGCCGATGGGGTATTGGAGTGTGGCAGAGTAATATTTTGTGAAGGGGTTCAGGGAAAAATGGTAGCCAGACTGGGGCCCCGGAAGTGGGGAAATAGAAGGCTGCACTTAACCCCTTTTTACTTTTTTCGACGTATAAAAACGTCTTCGAGCCCTGTTTTGACGTTATATACTCAATAATTCTAGCGGCTTAAATCAAGCGGGAGGGGAAAATGGTAGGCCCCATGTGGAGAATGGGTCTGTGTGGTCCCGTGTGCACCACATAAAAAAAATCTGCAGCAACATTGGTAATGAGAAAAAAAAAAGATGTTTTTTTTTGGGAAAAAAAACGCCGACTTTGAGGGTTATTTCGTATAGTATTTTGTTTTATTCACGTTTTTTGGTCTTGGTGATAAAAGGAAAAATTTTTACAGAAATAGAGTGATTTTCTTACTTTGACGATGGAAAAACGACCTTGAAAGAGCTCAAAGTTGGAATTTGATTTTTACCCTGTTTAGGAGTAAATAAATCACACCACAGCCAATACCGTCAACTGGGGGGTTAATATTTTTTTCACTAGGCATGATATTTTTATCCCCCTTTTTACAATAATGCGAGCCATAACAAATTTTTTTTTTTTTTTTTGAATAAAAAATCAAATGAAAAAATAATTTATAAAAGGGGCCCAGAGGGTGTGACTAAGAAAAAGAGTATTGTTATTTTTTGTGCCACGAATGTTCCTTGTTTATTTGGACCCCTTTTTGAATTGGGTCTTTTTTTTGTTTTCGTGAAATTGGCCAAAATTGCCAATTTCTGACCCCATATTGGGGGTCCTAATTAGTAAATGGGAGGTTTCTTGTACTCAGCTGATAGATAAAATGGAGTTTAAAAAAAAGCTATGGTTTGGTCAACTGGAACAATGGGAAATTTGGGTGGAAAATAGGGCTCAAAAACGGCGAAATCGCCAAAACGCATATTTTCCGAGACCCTAAATTCGCGGGAGCATAATTCCATGAGTTTTTGACCAAATTTCGAATTTTTGGTGTCATTACCTCGGGAAAAGATTCTCATCTTTTTATAAGAAAAAATAATTTTTTTTTTTTCAAAAATTGACGGGGATTGAATGACGTTTCAGAAAGGGGCCTGAAAAAAATCAAGGGTTAAAGGTTGGTTTTTAGATTTGGCTGTTTTTGGGGGTGACATCTAAACTGTCATGTTGGGCACCTCTGCAAAGACAGTGATAATGTTTGAATGATGGTGAAAGTTTTTTTTTTTTTTGGGGGGGGGGTCACTCTGCCCCTGTGGGAGATTGCCGACATGTTAAAAAAAATTATGCAAATAATATTTAGCCCCCAAAAAAGGAATCTAATGAAGGCAGAGAAGTTCAGGAACCAATTTTCTACCCCCTGTCAGTGGAAGAGGGAAATTTTAAGTGTCAATGGGGCACCTCTAAATGAAGTTCGTGTTGCAAATAATTGCTAGCTAGAAGAAAATGCAACGAAGGACAGAGGTAAGAGAAATTTGGAAAACGGCTTTTAACCCCCTATCAGTGGACCACCCTAGTGTATACATGAGTATGAATGCTTATGTGTGTACTTGAGAACTGTTTATGTGCTTAGTCAAATGTGTATCTCTTGTATTTTTGATAAACATTTTCTTTTTTTCCAGGAAATGGAATCTAAGCTTAGATCCAACCTTGTTAGAGAATTTGAAAGAGTACTTATATATGAGAGTCCAGCATTACAGGAAAAAGCAAGACATTGCATGCCGGTTCAAGAGCTACATGAACGAGCAAGAAGCAAGTTGTCAATTATGAATAAGGAATTTGGCAAGGATGAAAAGCCATTGGATTTCCAGGTAATATATTTGTGAACGGGTTTATTGGTAAAGCTGGTAGCGGGGTGTAAATGATAAACGTCTTTGGAGGCTTCTTACTTTATTTGTAAAGTAGTGGTGGGTACACAGGCTTGTGTGTTGTGCCCATGACCCGGGTAGGGCCATGCCCACGAGAGGAGAACTAGTAGGCCTTCTGTCTTGCTGGTAGGCCGCTGAGAGAGTGAGAGAGTGTGGGACCAGCTTCCCACAGACCTGGGGTAGGCCCAGAGGGCAGCACCTTAGTGGTGCGAAATATGAACTGAGCTGACAGACAGCATAGGCTGTCTGTGCAGACAGTACAGGCTGTCTACATATTTTTAGTATTTTTTCCTGGCTCTAATACAGTGGACCCCCGGTGTGGAAAATTTTTTGATTTTCCGAAACTATAGTGCCTAATAGGTGTTTAATGTGTCTATATGGGTCAAAAATGTATTTGAAAATAAGAGTAGAACCAAGAGTTCCCTTTGCGCATGCGCGGATGTGCGGGGGGGAGGGGCGCGGATTGTTTTGAATGGGGTGAAGAAGCTGAGAAAGCATGGAACCACGAAATTGACATTCACGGCGGCCTAAGGATTAATATAGGCCTCATTTCATAATAAGAAGTGTCGTAACTGTTCCTGGTGGAGAGTGAGGGAACGTGATTTACGGGACCACGGTGGAGAGTGGTAAAATGGGTGATAAGAGTAGGAGCGGGTGGCAGGTGCACGGCCAGGGTGAGTGTCCAGGGGACATACCCGTGTGTTAATCCTCGCTCATCGGCCTCAGATCTCAATGGAGTGACCTCTAATTTGTGTAATAGTTATGAGACGTTAAATCGTCTTGTGAATGGTAATGTAATCAGTGATAATAACATTGAGTTAAGAGAATGCGGGATGTGAAATAGAGCGCCTTGCTCCGAGTGAACGTGTGACTCTCGTACCGGGGATAATGGAGATTTATAGAATCACGACTTCTAACCGGGACAAACCGACGGATACCTCGTCCTGCCGGAATGAGAACCGTGTCGGTGTAGCAGGACATCGAAACTGAGATGGTGAATGGAAGAAATAAGGAGTATCAATCACCCACAGTTAAGTAACCCTTCTAGTTATAACAAACTTATGCTGGCCAGTAGTGTTATGTTATAATTAGATAGGTTATGAGTGATCCAGCTACCTCAAGTGATCACCAGAGAACATCTGGTAAGTGGTGGGATTATGTACAAATGTTTTCCTTGATGGATGTATCCAGGTGTATCCTACCCCCCTCCCCTTCATTCAGCTAAACTAATATAATCTATACAGTCCACAATTAATTAGTAGCACCGTACTTGTGGGTGCTACCCAATCCATACTGGTCTCGGATAGATATGGATAAGATTGTGAGGTCGAGGGGACCACTTGGTGCGACCAGGGGTGGTTAAGTTTTCTCACATGTCTACACGGGGTGACTACGGTAAACAATATGATTGTCTCCCAATGAGATTACTGGTATGTATATAATGTTGAGGTACATACAGGTAAGCACCCTAGAAAATTTTCCATACCCGGTTTACGATATTATTTCATTCCAGAAGTATGTTCAGGTGCCAGTACTGAACAAATTTGTTCCCATAAGGAATATTGTGAATTAGATTAGTCCATTTCAGACCCCCAAACATACATGTACAAACGCACTTACATAAATACACTCACATAATTGGTCGCATTGGGAGCTGATCATGAAGCGGGGGTCCACTGTACTTGTAACATCACTCACTGGAACCTGTCTTAGAAAGTAAAGTAAAAGGACAGCTGTGATACTCGCTAGTGATGCCATCACAACTTTTCATCACCAAATAAAGATAAATCTTGTTTAATATCATGAATCGCTTCCAGAAAAAAAAAATTAAATGAGGCAACGTATAGCGGTTGGTGTTTCCTCCCTAAAATGGAGGATTATTGTGCCCAAAAACAGAAATATTTAGGTCAAAAACAAAAATATTTGGACAAAATGAAGAGGCATTTGACACAAAATTTAAATGTTTTGCCTTACAAAATACACTATGTAATACTCACCAAATATAGGTAAGAATGTAAGGTGGCTTTATGGGAAAATTTTATGAATTTTGGGGGATGTATACATGCAGTCATGGAGAAGTGGAGAAGAATCCTTGTTCCATAAGCCATGCATGTTACAAGAGCAAGGGGCTAATAACCCTTTCTGTATGATTTTTTTTTTTCAGCAAGTCGACCATCTCCCACCTAGGCAGGGTGACCCAAAAAGAAAGAAAAAACTTTCATCATCATTCAACACTTTCCCCTCACTCATACATAATCACTGTTTTTGCAGAGGCACCCAGATACAACAGTTTAGAAACAAAGATACAGTATAAAAAGTGACATGAAATAATTACAATATCATGGCCCCAATTATATGTATACCATCCTATTACACATCCCTTCAAACTGCCAATATCCCAAACCCTTTCTTTAAAGTGCAGGCATTGTACTTCCCATTTCCAGGACTCAAGTCCGGCTATATAAAAATAACCGGTTTCCCTGAATCATTTCACTAAATATTACCCTGCTCACACTCCAACAGCTCATCAGGTCCCAAAAAACATTCGTCTCCATTCACTCATATCTAATGCTCATGCATGCTTGCATTTCTCCTTCAGATCATCCTACCTTGGTGGGAGATGAACAGTGTTAAAAAATACTATATATACTGTATACATATTGCACACTGAGTGGTAATAGAGATGGAATGCTTTGTCTTGCCTAATACATAGGGAGAAAGTAAGCCATTATCATATACAGTACATTGAATACATATGTAGACATTTTCTCCAGTTGTTTTCACAAAAATGTAATGCTGCATTGGGTGATGACAATGATGGCACATGGCTGCTGTCTGTTTACATATACAGCACTCTAAGTTGGTTCTTTCCTATACTGTTAAAAAAAAGCACCTCTATTTCTTATATCTTGAACACACGTGGTATGTAGTCGCTTTGTTGATGCATGTGTGGAGCAGAGAAGGTGATGGTACGTGGTTGTTTCATGCACACAATATTCTCTACTGTATTGTTCCTTATTTTCTGTTACAGTGCTAAAAAAAATTTGCCTGTTTCATTGATATTGAAAGCCTGAGGTATGTGAGCACCTAAATCAAATAATTTCCAGTAAAATAAAATGCAGCAAATGTCTTCTGATAAATGAATATATTGTACATTCAGTTCAATTACCCTGACAGCTATTTACAAAAAATGAGAAACAGTGCAATGAGAATGGTCAGCAACCCTGTATCATAATTTAAGTGTCAAGAGGTGTAGGACCTTATTAAAGTTTTAATGTCTTTGAGTCGCCTTTTAATATTCTGCTTAATTTAGATAGTTTAAAATGGTTTAGGTACCTTGTGACTAATTTGAAAACTCAGTATGATTTGTTACTGTAGTACTACATTACATACTCTGTAATGCAATTAAACCTTGTTACTCCATATTTATTTATGAGTTCTGATTTTTTTTTTTTTTTGAGGAATACATTCATTAATTATAAGCAACACTGGAAAATCTTGTGAACAGTTCCTCTTAGTCTGGTTATCCTGCCTCAGTGGGAGATGACTGGTATGTTAAAAAAAATTATACTTAAAATCTGGGTAGAAATTTCATTCACTACAGTCCACATTATGATAAGGTGCTGTATATACTTATGTACTGTGTTTCTATGTAAATAGTTTCCTTTATTATATTTTGTATACCAGGATTGGATTTTTCTTCTGTTTCATTCTATAATTTTTTCTATGCCTCATCACAGTGACTTGAAAGGGTTGAATGCTCATTTATATTCATAAAAATATTTTTCTTTTTGGGGATTTTCTTTCTTTTTGGGCCACCCTGCCTTGGTGGGAGACGGCCGACTTGTTAAAAAAAAAAAAAACATTTCCATTGAAATTGGCAAGCAAAGCCCCATATGGCTATTACTAGAATCAATTGCTTTTGGGCAAAAGGGAATCATCATCTCTTCTGTGATAGAGTGACAGTAAGAAATAAAAACACCAAACAATTCTTCTGTGAGAGAATCACATGTAATATTAACTTAATTATTAATTTTATTTAGAGCTTGTAAAACATATGTACTTGCACTTCAGTTTTTTTGTTTTACTTAACCTGTTATAAATAAGGATTTTTTTTTTTCAACAAGTCGGCCATCTGCCACCGAGGCAGGGTGACTAAAAAAAAAAAAAGAAAATCCCAAAAAAGAAAATACTTTCATCATCATTCAACACTTTCACCACACTCACACATTATCACTTTATTATTTTTATATTTTTATTATCACACTGGCTGATTCCCACCAAGGCAGGGTGGCCCGAAAAACAAAAACTTTCACCATCATTCACTCCATCACTGTCTTGCCAGAAGGGTGCTTTACACTACAGTTTTTAAACTGCAACATTAACACCCCTCCTTCAGAGTGCAGGCACTGTACTTCCCATCTCCAGGACTCAAGTCCGGCCTGCCGGTTTCCTTGAACCCCTTCATAAATGTTACTTTGCTCACACTCCAACAGCACATCAAGTATTAAAAACCATTCGTCTCCATTCACTCCTATCAAACACGCTCACGCATGCCTGCTGGAAGTCCAAGCCCCTCTCACACAAAACCTCCTTTACCCCCTCCCTCCAACCTCTCCTAGGCCGACCCCTACCCTGCCTTCCTTCCACTACAGACTGATACACTCTTTAAGTCATTCTGTTTCGCTCCATTCTCTCTACATGTCCGAACCACCTCAACAACCCTTCCTCAGCCCTCTGGACAACAGTTTTGGTAATCCCGCACCTCCTCCTAACTTCCAAACTACGAATTCTCTGCATAATATTCACACCACACATTGCCCTCAGACATGACATCTCCACTGCCTCCAGCCTTCTCCTCGCTGCAACATTCATCACCTATGCTTCACACCCATATAAGAGTGTTGGTAAAACTATACTCTCATACATTCCCTTCTTTACCT